TCAACAAAGTGGGATTCAACCCAAACAACATCATCTTTGACCCCAACATCCTGACCATTGGTACAGGCATGGAGGAACACAACGAGTATGCAATCAGCTTCATCGCGGCCACTAAACTTATTAAGGTAGAGACTCAACACAACTTCATCTCATCCCATCAAAGATTTCCATCTGTGCTTTAGCAGCCACATTACTTACAAACTCATCCTTGATCTTCCTGTACTTTGGAGTTTCTAACTAACTTATATATATAACTAGTAGATTTCAGGGCTAAAAAATGCCTTAAGGTCATTCAAGTTTAAGGACAACAGCATTAATTCTCATTAAGTGATATTTACTGTACAGCCTAGAAACTGCTTAAACGAGTCTAATCAGCTGTTTGAAGTTTTATTTAATAGTCCGTCAGTTCTTTAGATCCACATTAATCACAACACAAACCTCTGATTCTGGTTGGTGTAACCAGGATGTGTTTTTTGCATCGGTGTTGATGTTTAGGAAACTTTGCCCAGAGCCAGGGTGAGCGGAGGTCTGTCCAACCTGTCCTTCTCTTTCCGAGGAATGGAGGTGATCAGAGAAGCGATGCACGGGGTGTTTCTGTACCATGCTATCAAGGTAAACATGAAGATGACCGGTTGTAGTGCGGGCCTTCATTTTTGTGTTTTGTTATTGTTAGATGTAGTGAGTGGAAACATTTAAAGAAAGAAAAAGAGTGAAATTGAAAATTCAGAACGCTCTCACAAAGACTTGCAGTTAACTTGTTGGACTCTGTAGCAACAAATGATCTTTAGTTCAGTGAAATTTGCCTCCAAATGTGATGAGCTCCACATTTCCTATTAGAAATAAGAAGTTTTTCTGTGTCAGCTTCATGTTCCTGTCCACTGTGCCGCGACAGAACGGTATGGATATGGGAATCGTGAATGCAGGGAACCTGCCCGTTTATGACGACATCGACAAGGAGCTGCTGACGCTGTGTGAGAACCTGATCTGGAACAGAGATGGCGATGCTACGGAGAAACTGCTGGCCTATGCACAGGTACACACACGCATGTCACGCAGCACCAAGCTGTCGTTGTTGCTTTGCCTGACAGATGTTTGCTAACAGAACAACACCAAAGGAGGGAAGCAGATCGTTCGGACAGATGAGTGGAGGGAAGGAAGTGTAGAGGAGCGGCTGGAGTACGCTCTGATAAAGGTAAGGTGATCGGATGTTTCTGTTATACAATAAAATACAGTTTTAGTTGTGAGAGAGTTGTCAGAGCGGTTCAGTAGGTAGAGCTGTGTGCTAGAATGAAAGAGAATAGGCCTTTATTGTAATTGTACATGTGCAACAAAATTATAGAGCTCCACACCAGCTGTGCAGGAATAAAATATAAATAGTAATAAATAACAAACAGGAGAAATGTATACAATGTTTTGTATACAATGTATACAAAACATTGTATATAATGTATACAATGTATACAAAACATTGTATACATTGTATACATTGTATATAATGTATACATTATATACAATGTTTTGTATACATTGTATATAATGTATACAATGTATACAAAACATTGTATACATTATATACAATGTTTTGTATACATTGTATACAAAACATTGTATACATTATATACAATGTTTTGTATACATTGTATATAATGTATACAAAACATTGTATACAAAAAGTCACAGATTGGAAAACAAAGTGCTTGAGTTGTGCGACCTGTTATTAGCCCTGGAATTAGTAGCAGCGGCTTTCAAGGCTGATCAACCTCCACTGCTCCAGAACAAATGTTAACCACGTTGTTGTCCCTGAAAAAGACCAAGAAAGCCTCGTTTCTGCTGTTCAATACTGAAGAAATTTAAACTTTAAAATGATGCCAGATTAAAAACTCTCAGCTGTGTCTGTAATCAAACCTCTGTAACTTTGCTCTGCTTCACTTCAGCAGCATCAGGTCATGTTCAGATGCTGATTCATGGTTTTCTTCAGTTTTTTAGCTACTGCAGAA